ATAAAGAAATGAGGAATAAAATAAGGGCTATATGAATTAATCAGAAATGTTAACATCTCTGATGACAAGTGAACAGGAGGGCACGTGCTCTGGAGTTTGGATCTGATTGTTTGGATCTTTTGCCGAGGGAGAGAAGTCCAAAGCACTAAACAGTCTCTGCCTTCAGTACCTTTTAGTAGAGGAAGACAACTATATAAGCAAGGAATTGCATGCAAGTCTTATAGGAACTTTGCTTATACAGGATTTGCTATAAATCCACAAAGGAAGGAACGGTCTGTTTGATTTGATCTGGATTGGGATTGTGGGCACGTGAGGCAAGACCCAACACTGGGCTTCTATGCCTAGTTAATGGAATTTCCTTTCCCTCTGTTGGAGCACAGGAACTAGTGAAAGATGGGGAACGTATAGATTGAAGTTACCAAAAGCCTCCCTGTGGTCCCAGAAGTTGTGTTGTTTTATGTCTTCATTGTACAATAAAACAAGAAACTGTTAAATTTAAGTTGGGGCAGAGGGGAGCGGGAGGCCATTCATCTAGCTCCGTTTGCTCTGGACTTGGGAAAGGCAACAAGGAGGCCTGGGTGAAGGTCCTTCTCGTTCCTGAGGGTGCCTCCCTAGCCACCTCACTTCTTTGGCCATGATGGAGATGTGTTCTTGGGAGGCCACACAGCCTGCCCTGTGCCTACTGCATGGTTCCAGAAGGCCTGGCTCCCAGAGCCAGCCATCAGCCATCAGAAACTTTCTGCACTGTTAAATCCATTTAAGAAATCTGAAAACATGGCCTTTTAGGATGAGGATGAGGAAGGTGCTGTTACACTACGTGTGCTTTCTGAGATCTAAAATGGGGGACCTCTGGAGTGGCCCTTGTAACTGAGAAATGTTTTACTTTCATTTTGGAACCTTCTATGTAGGAAAGTAGCTATATAAACCCACTTGTAACTACAGCATTCAAAGATTGATGGTGCTGAAAGCCGGAGAAAGACACATAAACCTTGGCTGGCTATATTAAATATCTAAGGACTGACAATGCCAAGGGAAAGAAGACCAAAGCTCTATAAACCCTACTTTATGACACCATCCACAGATGAACTGCACTAAGGGAATATAAACCCTGTTATATTACAGTATCCAGGGACTACCACTGCCGAGAGATAGGGTAAATGATCTCTAATTTTGATTTGAGATTATAAATGTCCAGAGACCAGCAACCCAGAGAAGACTAATCTTGGTTGGATTTTAGGCTCCAAAAGCAAACCCCCTGAGATAGTGAACATGAGTATTAGGTTAGATTCTTGAGACAGAGATAGGTTTTGGGGGAATCCCCTGGTGATTTGTTTAAAGGTGAATGATAAAATCTTTCACAGTCATTTGATGTGTATCTCAATTGCCAACTTCAGAATAGCTTTGTAGAGTTGTAGTTGTCTGTAACGGTTTGTTTTTACCCTCTTTTAGGAGGTTAGTTGGTGATGATTAAATCTGTTGTGATAGCAACTTGATATATAATTTAAATCAATCTGCATTTTTAAGTTAAATCTTTCTATGATTCTTTTTTCAGATTTTAGGTTTTCATTGATCATTTGTTTGCTTTGTGATTCCAGCCAGAGAGATGACACGGGGGAAATTCCTCAATATTCTAGAGAAGCCCAAGAAGTAGCAGCTGCTTGTGGACAGGATGTCCTGGGGTTCGAAACCAAGCTCCCTTCCCGGTGCACCTCTAACAATGCACACCTCACTGCTTGCTTGGGAGAGACCAGAGGGTGTACCTCCAGGACTGCCCTCTCCCCTGTTCCTGGCACTCTACGCGTCTGAGGACATTCAGCAGCAAGAGAAGAATCTGCTCTACCCAAGGATCATTGCAGTTACTCAGTCAGCTTTCAGACTTGAACCTTCTTAGCCTCGGATATTGGTAACAGCTGAGGGCATATCATTCTTAAAGGTCAAAGTCCTGCTTTCTCATTTCTGGAAGTGATTCAGGAGCCCCAGGATCTTACGGTTGATTTGACTCAGTCATGGCAGTCAGTTGTGACATGTTGATTGGATGGGTTCTTTTGAATTGTTCTTGATCTCTTAGGAAGTGTTTTTGATGCAAGGAGACCAGAGACCAACTAGATTCTGGACCAGACCATGCAGCCTGATCTGTGAACTCTCCAGTATATACTGAGTTCCCAGAATCCCCAGCTGGAGAAACCAGAATCTTCTTGAAATGTACATCTGTTTTTAAAACTTCTATACCTCTTATGATAGTCCCATTTGCTTTTCATTCCTTACTTCCCAGCCCCACCTTCCAGTTCTGACTTCGGGCAAAGGGATCCCTGAGTCCCTCCTGGAATTAGCTTGTATAGTGAAAGGCCCATCCAAGGTTGCCTTGGGTTCTAGATCTAAAGACCAATGTGAAGGTGACAGAAAGGACTTTCAAGTTCTAATTAATCTGTTACAGATTCAAGCAAGAAAGTCAGTGTAGCCTGAAAGACAAGAGAAACGGGATGGTTTATAGGAGTTCCCATTTGGTTGAAAGCTGGAAGCCCTAATTGACCTTAAAAGAATGTGCTATGGTATGGTGGGATTGTCCCCTCTGACAGCACGTATGAGATAGTTCATCTATATAATAGAAACACACACACACGAAAGAGAATCTTCTGACTTAAATACAACTTTCATGGAGTTCTTCACCACTTATCTGTCTCTGTTAAAATCTGAAAATCTAGCCCATGGGTAAAATCTATTATATGTGTTCTCTATATTTCTCGTATAAGCCAGCCCCCATCATCTGATGTTTTGAGAAGTGCATGGAGTTCCTAAACTTTGCACAAAAGAATATCCCGGGGCCGGGCGCGGTGGCTCACGCCTGTAATCCCAGCACTTTGGGAGGCCGAGGCAAGCGGATCATGAAATCAAGAGATAGAGACCATCCTGGCCAACATGGTGAAATCCCATCTCTACTAAAAATACAAAAATTAGCTGGGCATGGTGACACAGGCCTGTAGTCCCAGCTATTCGGGAGGCTGAGGCAGGAGAATTGCTTGAACCGAGGAGGCGGAGGTTGCAGTGAGCCAAGATCGCGCCACTGCACTCCAGCCTGGGCGACAGAGCGAAACTCCATCTCAAAATAAATAAATAAGAATATCCTGGCCAGGCAACTCATACCTGTAATCCCAGCACTTTGGGAGGCTGAGGTGGGCAGATCACTTGAAGTCAGGAGTTCCAGACCAGCCTGGCCAACATGGTGAAACCCTGTCTCTACTAAAAATACAAAAATTAGCTGGGCGTGATGGCGCATGCCTATAGTCTCGGCTACTTGGGGGCCTGAGGCACGAGAATCGCTTGAATCCGGGAGGTGGAGGTTGCCGTGAGCCAAAATCATGCCACTACACTCCAGCCTGGGCAACAGAGTGAGGCTCTGTCTCAAAAAAAAAAAAAGAAGATCCCTGTGGCAATAGTCTGATGGTGTTTGGACACAAGAAAAGTTATGGTCAAGTTTTGAGTCGTGAGTTTTTGCTAGGGCATGGCACTCTTCAGTTTAAACGCTGATCCATTAACCATTTTCTGACATTTGTGCCTTGTTCTCATGCTAGAATTAACGCTGAATTTTTCTCTCGTTTGGCCATCCATGTAGTTTTACTTATTGAGAGGAAAAAAGACTGAACATAAGATATGAAAGATGAGTATGAGAAGTAAAACATTCTACTGGGGTGCTATATAGAAGGTTAGGTTGTAGGGGCTTTGATTTTAATTTAAACTCATTATCGATGGATATTTCTGTATCTCACTAAATGCGGTTGAAGAGTTTGTGTGTGTATGTGTGTATGGCCAAAAAATAGTGCCATAATGTCAGATTCTTCCTTTGCTCTGTTTTTGAGAGTTGATGACATCAGGCACTTTTAAGTGTTTGGGGAAATTGATTGGGATACCTCCCCCAAACCAACTCAAGTCTGTAACTGGAAGCCAGGTAGTTGGTTTTCTGGTCCGCTTTGGCCTCTTTCTTTTACCATCATCCTATCCACCAGCACTTAATGTAAGTAGATGTTTTAGAATTGCGATATTTATTGGTTTTGTATTTGTCATCCTTAGAAATGTTAATGATGTATTTTTATATTGATAATATAAATTGATGTACAGTGTGTGTGTGTATGTATTTCAGGATGTTAAAGGATTGTACTTTGTATGTGATGGTTTCTGTGTCTTCATAATAAATGTGTCCCTTTTACAGGAGGGTGAGTTTTTCCTCAGAGGGCCGAGTTGGATATTTAAAGCACAGACCTCATCAGAAAGTACAACTATAATGATAAACAATCCACTGTCTTCCTCCTTAATATACTTAGTGGATAGTTTGGGGCTTTACCGTCATCTACTTGGTCTCCTGCCTTCCAATCTATCCTACCACTGCCCAACACCCTACAGTAGTATTTAGAAACCTTTAATATCTTCCCATGTCTACTAATAAAGTCTCAATCTCTTGACCTGGCATTTTAAGACTCTCTACATGTAATCCTAATCAACCCTTCCGTTTAGTTTTCTTCCTCTCCTATGTATGAAGTCCATGTTGCAGTTACTCTGAACAGTTCCCAGTTTCTCACTTGAGTGCCTTTGCTCCTGCCTTTGAGTTCCTAGAAGATCTTGGATCCCTTTTGCATCTATCAAACCTATGCTTCCTATAATCCCCTGATGATCCAGCTGGAAATGGTCCTTCCCCTACATTCCTATAGCATTTCCCCATATCATCCCTGTGACTCTTACCACACTCTGCCTTATATTTAAGTGGTCTGAGTACTTTTTCTTTTTGAGACAGAGTCTCGCTCTGTTGCCCAGGCTGGAGTGCAGTGGTGCAATTTTGACTCACTGCAACCTCTGCCTCCCGGGTTCAAGCGATTCTCTGCCTCAGCCTCCCTAGTAGTTGGGATTACAGGCACATGCCACCACACTCCGGCTAATTTTTGTATTTTTAGTAGAGACAGGTTTTGCCATGTTGGCCAGGCTGGTCTCAAACTCCTGGCCTCAAGAGATCCTCTGGCCTTGGCTTCCCAAAGTGCTGGGATTATAGGCATGAGCCACTGCGCCTGGCTCTGAGTACATATCTTATTTCTCCTACTAAATTCAAAACTCCTCAAGGTATAGCTGGCTCCTACACATCTAGTTCTTCAATGTCTTCTTTGAACTGGGGGTTCAAAAGCTATTTGCTTGCAGACTTCTGGTTACACATGATAGATTGAAAACAAGTATTTATCTGCCATCTACCAAATCCCTTAGTGTGGGTTCCTTTTCAACTGTGTTCAAGAACTGGAAAAGAGGAAGTACTCATTACCGCTACTGCTTTCACCCATTGATAGTTTACCTGCTCTAGACCAGAATATGCCCTTTTAAAGAAAGCATTTCATTTTAAGGACAGCAAATTGCTTCTCATCATAGGCCCATCATTTATTTCCAAAAAAGACATCTGGATGAACAGCAGATTTCTGTGATCTAGAAAAGCATGGCTGATTGACTAAGCAGGGACAGTGTTATGAATGTTCTAAGTCTTTAGAGACTATTTTTACAGTAAATAATTGTTTATTACTTGCCTACAGATATTTTTTCCCTTTTCCTTTGCCATTCCAAATACCATCCTGGAAAGCATCTGTTAAATGTGAGCAGCAACATTCAGAAAAGCATAGTATTGGAGCTTGGAGACACGTTTGCAAATTCTTATTAACATTTTTTTTCTTACCAGCACTCATTACTTCTTGCTGTCTTCAGTCTCCCAGAGTCTAGGCCTCTGCTGATTTGCTTGGCCTGCCTTCCATAGGTTAGAGCACTTAAAGTTCACAGGGTATTAATTGTGTTGATATTGAAATGCCATCATTTTTATCTTTCCATTTTTATCATATTTTTTAAATGGACACTTGCTAACTGCTCCGTGGTTTTAGTTCTCTAGCTGCTCTTCTGGACTCTCCCAGATCAAGGCAGTGAAAATAGAACTGATGGAAGTCATCCCCTTGTCCCTGTGGCTTCAGAAGGGTGTTTCGACTTCCCCAGGAGCTTTGAAATGAAGCCGAGAAATTTCATTTCCAGTGGGATGCCCTGACTCCTCCTGTTTCCTCCAGGATTAAGCCATCACAGGAAGGTGAACAGGCAGAGCAGGAAGTGAGGAAACGGACAGTTGGGCCAAGGTGGATGATCCCAGAAGCCAAATAACACAGTCTCTTACCAGTTCTCAGCTTCGGCACTAACTCCATCTCCAAGCATTTGGTTATATTCTCCATTCTCTGTTTTCTTCATCTTGTGAGAGCTACAAGGATATCTGATCCCTATGTGGGCTTTGTTTCACCAGAGTCTTGCAACCCCCAACCCCAGAGAGTGGCAAAGGGTGGTGTCTCCACGGTTGTAAGTTCTGATGGACTGGAACTGACTTTTCCTATCTATGTAGGCTTTTTGGCATTTGGGGTGTGTGTCCCTGTCTATGCCTAAAGAGGCCACTGGCCTTCCCACCCTTTGCCTGGCACTTTTTCCTCTCGAGCAGCTGGGGGCTTCAGACGATACCAGGTGTAACTGTGAGGCTCCTGGTTGGCGTGAGTGCTGGCAGAGCCTGTTAATTAGCACAGGAACACCCCAGTGCTCCATTAGCTGGGCCAGGCATTTGGAACCTTCCCCTCCTGTGGGCCCCTTCCTCCTAATGAGAGCTGGAAGAAGGGCCCTCACAAAACACTGCCTCAGAATAATATTCTGCTTTGTCCCCACCAGTAACCAGGGCTGACAGGATCACTCTGTCCATTTCTCTTCTAATTAGCACAATTCCAGCATGGCCTGAGCCAGCAAATAGAGAAAAGCGATCAAAAGCGATCGGACAACCGTACCGAATCACAAACACAAAGAGGGCCATTCCCTGTAATTAGGTGAGACAATTCCTCAGTCTTTTCTCGGCTGGAGTTTGCCGCTAAGACTCTTGCTGTTTGGGTCCCAGCAACACAAGTTACATGTCTCCCTGGGACACTAATAAGCCCCAAATTGTCTTCCGCTTCACACAACTCTAACCAGAGGACAGACATGGGGTGGTGGGGCAGGTGGCGGGGAGGGGGTGGTGCAATGCAGTGAGGGGACAGGGTCTCCCAACAAGCAGCTGCTGCAATGTTTCCCCAACTTCGAGAAGCAGACACTGGGGCTGTGGGCAAAGAGGTAAGAGTCAGTTGACTTGAGAGAACTGCTCTGGGCACAGCCTGGCCCCTGTTACTTGAGCTGGAGTCTGAAGCACTGAGAAATTCTGACCCTCAGGGGAAGCCCCCTCTCAGCCATTTGCCCCACTCTGTTCATTCGCTGCCTCCTGTCTATGGCCCCGTCACTCCTCCCACCCCTGCAGACCGCTGGCATCATTCCGGGAACTACACTGAGCCCTTCACAAACTGTAAGCCCTATACAACTATAGTTACCATTGCAGAGAAAGCTAACACACAGCACATGAGTGAATTCTGCCCTAGAAGACTGCATGACCTGGAAGGGGCACCCACTGCCCCCCTCACTCTGGCCCTCATTTCTAGCACCCATCACCTTTATGTCTCTGGTTGTGTCCCCAACCCCTGCCTACTGTCTCCTCTCTCCTGAAAGATCTCTGTTTGTTTAAAACAGAAAAGTGGCCCATCTGCCAGGGCAAGAAGCCATAACTGGCCGCACTCCATGTGGCTCAGAGGTTGGCCACTTAATGAACAAAAACAGCTCCCCCAGGATTGCAGCCCATTACAGGGATTACTTGGGGCGATACAGCCGTAAACTTGGTCATAGCCAGGGACAAAAGAATGCAGGGGAGAATGGCAGTTGGAATCTCAATTAAACTCAAGTTCGGAGCAGAATTGGGCTCACATATTTTCATCTCTCTCTTGCCCTCTGCTTTCTGTCTTGATTTCTATACCTGGTGTTTTTGAAAGTGACCTCCAATACAAAAGGAGATTCAGTTATGTAGAATCCGAGAAGCCAAAAAACTCAAGTAATCAAAGTGGCATTGTTTTTCTACCTTCATTTTTCTGAGACATAGAGAAGATAATGATAAGATTTGACTGTTAAAAACAACTTTTGGCACATGCCAAAGAATTGATCCAAATTTGTTCAATTTCATACAGTTTCTTTGGTTATAAACAGAACTACCTGGCACATAATAGGTGCTAAAATAAGAATTTGTTGAAAGAATGAACTGTGCCTTGACATTCGGTGTTCATAGCCTCATTGCTGGTCAAAGATATAATAAGTGCTTGGATTTTGAGAGAAAGGCAGGGGTGATCTTGTGTAAGTTACTTCTCTCTAAGCCTTGGTTTCCTTAGGACTTTTTCCACTTTAAAGAGTCGTATCAGCATCATGGACAAGGGCACAGGCTCTGAAGTCAGGCTGCCTGGGTGCAAATAGCACCTAACTACTAGGGTAGCTGTAGAGATTAAATGAGTATTGCGAAGTGTTGAGAGTGGTGCATGGCATATCTTACCCATTATGTGTATAATTGCTTGATAGATAGATATATAAAACAGATTCCATGTAGTATTTAATTTTTTATTATACTCGTATTTATTAAAAATTGACAATCCCTAGGCCAGGCATGGTGGCTCACACCTATAATCCCAGCACTTTGGGAGGCTGAGGCATGTGGATCACTTGAGGTCAGGAGTTCAAGACCAGCCTGGCCAACATGGTAAAACCCCGTCTCTACTTAAAAAAAAAAATACAAAAAAATTTAGCTGTGTGTAGTGGTGGGTGCCTGTAGTCCCAGCTACTCGGGAGGCTGAGGGAAGGGAATTGCTTGAACCCAAGAGGCAGAGGTTGCAGTGAACTGAGATTGCATCAGTGCACTCCACCCTGGGTGACAGAGTGAGACTCCATCTCAAAAAAAAAAAAAAAAAATTGGCAATCCCTACAGGGAAAATATAGTAACTTCTGGTTACCTTGACTAGTCAGTTAAGCAGAATACTATTTCCGTAACCCTTCAGAAGAGCTGACAGTTTACTATTTCTCCTACCCCCATCCTTCCACCCACTGAGGCCCATGGACATTCAGTAGAAACCATCGTTGACTCTACAGACAGTGGCATTAAGCAAGGGAGGGAAAGGTATTCTTTGGGACATTGGCAGGTTTCTGAGCTGATACTGAACTTGGCATACATAAGCCTCAAATCACTGTGCTTTGCTAATCTTTGTGGTCCTCGTATTTTCTGAGCAACCATGCTTTTCTAGTCACTGCACAGGAACACACTTCCCTGT